GAGGGACCAGTCAGGGGAGGATTCACAAAAAACGCAAATCAGAAGGAGTGAATAGCATGCAGACGCTATTATTTGTCTTGGGGGGGGGGGGGGTGGCATCGTGTTCTTTTTATATCGTTTGTTCACCCATGTTAGCTAACAGGCCACACCCTGGTGACACTCGTGAACCCTTGTGAAACTTTCAAATGGTACAAGTGAGCCATTTCGGTCATAAGAATTTACAGGTATTCACAAGGTAGCTTACTAAATCTTGGCTGTGTACTATTCCCACTCCCCCCCCTCATCCGAATTGCGCCAGTAACCTTGTGTAAACCCCTTACAGTACAGTACAGAGTAATAATAGCCCAGAACAGGTTTGGATAGCATCTAAGCGGTACACGACCATGGGAAAAACTTCTAAGAAAACCAGCTCGTAAAGCGGTCAGTAATCACGTCATAATGATATTTCTAGGTCAGCACCCATTTGTTTGCCTTATCTTTGTTGCGAGTCATTTCAGATGTTGTCTGCACCTGCCCTAGACTCTCACAGTTTGTTTTGAGCGTTCATTGGAACTCGGTTAGGAAAGTGACGTATGAATTACTCCTCAGCTCATTAGAAACTTCCACAGCGTTGTGACTGCAGTTGTGTACACTCCCCCCTCCCTTTCACTCACTAGACAATTTAATTGTAAGGAAAGTGCGACGCTATTCGGTTTGGGAGGGGCATTTTACTTTTATTTCTTTTTTTAGCTAGTTAGTTACTAGTTTCTCTTTTCCTGTTAACTTCACCGTCACCTTGGTGAGACCTGTAAATCATTGTCAAGTGTAAACAAAGCTGCCGCACTTTACAGAATTTTGCAGGTCTCTACAGGGGTAAAAGTCTCTACACTGATCAATGAGAACCTGCAAAATGCCCCCTCCACCCACCCCGAACTGCGCCGGGAAATACGTTGTAACACTAGAATGACTAAGTAACCAGACATCATTACTCTAGAACAACATTCCATATTTCCACACCAACAAAATAGTCACTTCCCGGATAGGACCCCCATACTTGCATAAAACCAGGGCCGTAGACAGAATAATAAGTAATGCGCCATGATCGAATATGCATTGTTTCGCAACTGCAACCGGTCCTAATCCGATCTGTCGCCTTTAAAATCTGGCGGATAGTTTCGGCACAACAACAAAACACTTGCAGAGCAAAACAAAACGCAAAACACTAAACGCAACCCTAAATACCCACCTGATGCTCAATATCTTCATCAGCTAAGGGGATCACCTTCTCGTAGCATCGGTCACAGATACGACGCTGCACACCTTTACCGTCATCCTCGGTGGTATGATAACGTTGGCGCGAGCATTGATGGCACACCGACTGCATACACAACCTTGAACTACACTCGTCAACTTCTTGAAAGTTGTTTCTTCAGGTCTAGACAACTTCAAGGCGGCGTTTATACTTTACGAACGTGAATGAGTGCGGTGGATGTGTGACGCAGTTGCGCGACATAAGACTTGTCCTGCTCCGAGGCCATTTAGCATGTGAAGTAGTCACGGAAAATCGGGAAAGTTGGAAGTGCTTGCCTTCGGCCTCGAAATGACGTTTGCTGCGCTCGCAATGCGACAAAACTGGCTCCAAAGCTCGCAGAAGCTGTCGGCCGTACGCGCATCGCCGCCACGTATACGCCGCCGGCGCGAGCGTCGCGCATAGCCATCGTGCATAGTAGCCGAAAATATACGCATCGGATTTGGAGAATCAACATTGACAGAAAACAGCGTAGCCGGATCAAGTGACTCTGGTCCCCAGCGAAATGCAGCATTGCTCCCAGAATCGCTTATCGCTCCACGATTTCGCAAAGTTAAACGCTCCTTTCAGTAAAAACCATTCTTTCTTTCCTGCAATCGGATCCTTTGCCTTGGCGTCTTTTCAGGGTGTAAAACACCAAAGCATTGCGTATACGTTTTACCACATATTTTGACAGCTGAGTATTTCCTTGATAGTGGGATGCCACTTGATTCTCGTGGAACTTCACACGAATCCACTACGGACACGTCCGATAGGGCACGACACAGACTATTACAGTCTCCATCCGAATCGCATTCGCCAAACGACCACCTGAAAACTTTGAGGGTTAGGAAGTCCAGCAAACCAAGTTCTGGGATAATTTATGACGAAGTGACGCTGTCTACACCAGTCTGACCGGGGAAGTCCGCCAATTTACTATGGAACTTCGAATGGAGACTTGGGTAGATCGATGGAGTCTATAAGGTTATTTACAAATATAGACAGCAGCACTGTAACCTCCATTTCACAAGCAACTTATGCAGTCGTGGTAAAACTTGTAAAGGGCTGCAGTAGGTGTGGAAACTTTGGTTGCAGCAGCCTCTGAGGCATATAAGCAAGGAATCGCATACTTCGAATCAAGTCGTGTTGGTACAGTGGGAAGGTTCGACGTTCGACGACTCAATTTGGCGCATGTGATTCCTCGCTTTGCCCCTTCACAGCTCAATACGAGCATCGCACCCTACTGCCCACCATTTACAAAAACTTATACCTGCCCATAAAGGTTGCTTGGCTTCTGAAATTCATGGTTGCCAGTTTTGCTTACTATATTGTAAATATATCTTACAGGACTATTCGCATCTACTCACGTCTTGCTTCAAAGTCTTCATGGATTATTAAGTGGTCGGACGCCTCCGCTTCCCTGGCGAACCTCCTTTAGCACTGTGTGTGGCTCCCAGCGTTGACGCAGCACCGCTACGCGATGCGTTTACCTCTTGAGAGGAACATGATATGTCACTGACGTCCTGACATTTGCACAATACAGGTTTCCTCGTCATGCAGATGTTATATGACAGGTTGTCTCACTACAGTATTAGATGACACGGCCGCTGTTCAACTGAGGTGAGAAGACAGTTGACAGGTACTACTTACAACAGTTAAAAAGCAGTTTCTACAAAGTTTGACTGGCATCACTTCACTCCTTCACAAAATTTAACATATCTCTACCTGATGGCTCGACACGACAATGAGGAGGAAAAAAAAAGCGAAATTACAAAATACCCCCCAGCCGAACTGCGCCGATTCTACTAGCCCATTAATTTTCTGGTCAGGGTATAGCATCGTTAGGAGAATCTTATCAAAGAATTTTTCTTGTCCGATGGGAAGGGGTCACAGTTCGACGGTTGCCGTCTGGTCTTGACAGAAATCCTTCCAAGTTGCGATAATTTCTTCAGATTTTTTCGGAGGAAAGTGGAAAATTCTTCGAAACTTGAGTAAAAAAAGCATAGGAAGTTGGGGAAACTGAGGAAAATGGCAGGCAAGATGGGGAAGGGGGACTTATCAGAAGACAAAGTTTAGAGGGGTCGTACTGACATCGCCATTTCACATCCCTGAGCTGTACCCTCTTTCCTGCTCCACTGTGTAGCCTAGAGTGGCTGTGTGCCATATGGTAACGCTGATAACAACTGGTGATAGTCGGAGCCACTTTCACTGCGCTCTGTTAGTCCCCCATCATGCTATCTACTACATTACACGTCAATAACAGCGTCACGACTGGGCGAACGTGATTGAGTGGACTAGATGGACCGTAAGAAGAATTAGTAGGCATCCCAGGAATCCTGAGTCCAAAAACTCAACACAATAAAAACCAAATAAACGATCCTACGTGATGTAACTCTTAAATTACCGAGACATACCAATCGCCTTGGTCGAAAAAAAATGGCGCCGAAACGATAAAGGGTACAGAGAACGATAAAATACGCAACCTTTTCGAACTACCAGGCTGAACTTTCTAGGGTGTGGTTTGCGCTATTACTGAGGGTGTGGTCTTTAGAATGAATGAGAAATCAGAACAAATTGCGACATTCTGAATCATAAATTTTCTGCCGAAGAATTAAATCATCGGGTTCGGTAACTTGGTTGTGCACATATTGCAAATACTGCGCGCGCCAATCGCGACCTGAACTATCGAGAGTTCTAACCACTTTCTATTTTCCTGCCCTGGACCAAGGCTCAAAATTCGTTGTGTACCGATCAGGGCCTAGGAATCTGATGGACTTCGATAGAAGAGAGGTTCGGATGGCTTTGTGGGTCAGCAATGAAATACCCTCAAGAATTTTGAGATATAAAATGAAAGGAATGGAGGCATGGAAGTATAGAGAAATCAGAAAAGTGTACAGAGCATGCAAATTTTAAGGATTAATCAACGGAGCAGGGTTAACGAATTAGGTACTAAACAGGGAAGGGGGTGCACGTCCAAAATAGGCCGCTATTGGTTGAAACTTATGAGAGACGTCATCTAACATGTTGATGAAATGTCGTGTCACATAACATGTCAATAGCGAAGAAACCTGCATCGTATCGCTGCCAAGGACGTCACAAAACGTTTCATTAACGCGCTACGTGACGTCAATGACACGTCATCTACCTCACGACTGGGAACGTACTGGACCGTGTAACTGCACTCAATGCCCAGGATAAAACTTGATTCACAGAAAAATAGTGCTGATTACCCTGAGCGGTGAGGGCATTTTTATGTTAACATACAAGCTTTGTAACGGCAGTGGGCACGATTGCTGGAAGCGGGCGGTTGCTGCCAGCGCCATTGGCGGAAGGACTGCTACAGGGCGTTTGGCCGCACCTACTCAATCCTTCCTCCAGCGACTTGTGCGACAACCAAAAACCGCGTCCACCGCCTAGAAGTCGTGCATACAGGTGAATACCTGGCAATCGTGTCTAATCCTGCAAGTCCTGTCAATCCGTGTCCAGTAGCCTGTAAACTCGTGTCAAGTTTGGCGAAATGGTGCTAGCGTCGTTGGAACGCCATTTCTCCCTTCTTCCCAAAGCCTAACCAGTCATTTTGACAAGTTTGACAGTTTGCAGGGCGCTTGACAGGTAATTACAACGCTCACTGGGACAAGGTTGACTGGTATTCACATGGATGCTATGCACCCCCCCCCCTTCTATGCCTTGTCTTCCGAAGTTTATTAGCGCCGAAAAATCCATCAACAAATAACTAGGCGAAATTAATACTCACCATTCTACCAGCTGCATCTCTACATGTAGTACCACCACCAAAATTCATACGTTCCGAGAAACTTCTGTTACGTTTCATCTGATCTATTTGATGTCGCTCCAATTCCAGCTTAAACAGATTTTTACAGGGGTAAATAGAGAAAAAACAAAACAAACTAACTGATAGAATAATAATAACGAGTTCACACACCTGATGTGCCCTATTAATGATACGTTGTCGTTCTTCAATTGGATCGAAAAACTTTATTAAACCATCCTTGTCTTGACATTCTTGAATACTTTTCCATGGATGGAGAGGTGAACCAACAACCACAGTGGAACCGTCTCGCCTGTTTGACGGAAGAGATGGCGGGGCCGAAAAATCGCCCTGAAAACGACAGATCAGTTACACTACTTGTCTCCAAATTATCACTTAACTAAAGAATACGGCAGTACACTGTAACTATGGAGCCTGAAGGCGAAAATCGGCTCAGTGGGGGCACCGAATGGTACTCGGCTGGGCTTCTACAGGTTATCTTGTCTTGTCTTGTAAAATCTATGAATGTCTGTGACCGAAGGGTTCACTCGCATTCCTCAGCCTCCCTGGATTCAGGCTGCGTTCATACATTACGCCAGCGTTTTAACGTATGGCAGCGTTTTCAGCGACTGACCGCGAAAAATTCAAAAAATACCCGCAAAACGCATAAAACGCTGCCGCAAGCATACGTTTCGCGGGTGGTGAATTTTCCGCGGGCGGTTGCTAGACGCTTCGCTCAGAATGCCAAATCGAAACCTATACTTTCTAGTCGCTCAAAACCCTTCGGTACGCTCGAAACGCTCAAACCCCGTCCCAAAATATGAACACACTTTCAGAGGTCTCAAGAAAGTGGAATCTGTCATTTAACAAAGAATAACAAAAGAAAGTAGCACAGAAAAACAACAGAACATGCTGCCCTCTTTAAGCCGCACAACAACTTCACATACCAGATTGATTAACGACGTATCCATAAGTGTATGTTCAGGAGACGAGGCGCCTATATTGATCGTTCCATTCGATCCAGAATGACTCATTAGTGAACTGAAGAAAACATGGGATAAATTCTTCATCGGGGATCGATAATCAGGGATATCTGATCGGAAAAGCTGGGTGACGATGTCCAGCGCCATAGATGAGTCAGTGAGATGGTCTATGAGCTTTGTAGATTTTTTATGGGTTGAAAAACCCTCTTCTCTGCAAAGCCCTAATGTAAACATACCATAAAACCCCGCACGTCCGCAAAAACCACCCCAGTTAGTTGTTTCCCTGACCAAAAGGTCAAGTAAACGATACTTGGCAAAAAACTGCAGAAAAGCTATTCGTTCTCTGCTCCGATCACTGCGAACTATTGAAGTCTGCCCCCTTCCTCTCTCTTTGCCGCTCCCCCTCCCCCATACATTAAGACTCAAGACGCTCGTGAAACTGTAACAACACTAAAAGTAAAAAAATATCTTACATTCCACTAATGTTTGCCGCGTCCACGCTCGTAGCTGAATTGATGCTTTCACTGCTTTTGCTTTTCTGGAGCGGTGTTGGTGGGTTGATTACTGGTACAGCATTACTGTTTGGATCCTTCAATGGTGGCGGAATCGGAATGACTCGGGACGGATACGAGGGGACCGCCTGAAACCACGTCTTTTAATCGTACAAATATTAACACTTTGGTGACCGGCATTTCCATACCGATGCCAGCTTATATCTGCCGATCTTATCTAAGATTTATGTATTTTCGAGTACGTAATCTTTCCAAAACCGTCAAGAGGGTGGCAAACTAGCAGTCAATAGAGGCGCCATAGCGAAATGCCATTCGGAAAACTGAGAACGACAGGAAAAAACGAAACCAGCCACTAAACGCTCTTTATTGCCACCTCTTTGGAGCAGAGGTCAGATTCCTATCGAAAGTCTACCTTTTGGGTAGATCTGGCTAGAGTTTTCCCTCTTGGCTAGTTCATTTGCTTAACGCGAAAATGTGAAGCTTTAGCGCAATAAGCGTGGTATAAAGCAATTCGCCAAATGCTTTGAATACACAGCGCTGTTCCGCTTGGGACGGCAACTAGTAACTTCGCTACTTCCTTCTCTCCAGTTCACGTTAACTAACAGATCTCATTTTCGTGAAAATTGTCAACTCGTGTAAGCTGCAGAATGGTATATGTGAGCAACTTTGGTAGCAAGAGTTTACACGTTCTCAGAATGTGGTTTGAGCAAGCTTTGCTAAGGACCATTTGTTGCCCCCACCAAGGCAAGCTGCGCCGAAATTTCTTTTCTGGAGAAGCTCAAGGTACCCTCGCTCGCCGTCACCGCCATGCTGACTTCAAAACTAGCTTAATATATCGCGGGGCAGGCACCCGGCCTTTCCACTCTAACGGATAAGCTAATCGTGTTCGTGAAAACCTACCGCACTATAAGTTCAGGAAAAGGGGGCATACAGCACCATCGAAAAAAAAATTAAATGCACAAAGTGAAATTGCGTGAAATTAATCATTTCGCGCAGTGAATGCACAAAGTTGTCCATACCGTAAGCTGATTTTGTTACCCAAGTTTATCAGCCGTTCACACAACCACGTTGACGCACGTTTCACTATTGACCCGGACTCGCGCTGAATTTCAGACAAATCCTCCGGTTCCCCCCCCCCTACTCCCCGAGAAATTCCGACCGGAAAACAGTGGAAAATTCCAACAAGAGGGGCAGCAAAGGATGAAAATAATCGAAAAGGTAAGAAAATGTTAAGAATATTGAGGAAATTACATATGGGCAGAAATCAGTTGCTCACCAAAGTGCCAAAAGGAGAAAACTTGAAAAGAAGAGGAGAAATTAAATGTAAAAAGAAAAATAGAGAAGCATCCACTCACATCGTCGTCAAAGGCTCGATCTCGATACACTTCGATCCATTCCCGCAACGTGCTCATTTCCGTATCAAAGGTGATTCTTCCAACGATTGCCTTGTCGTACAGTGAGCTGACGACCTGCTCGTTACGTGGGCTAAGGAATCTCCAAATCGAAATCGGCTCCTCATTCATCTCCTCTTTCATCATCTTCGACTGTCGACGCGAATTGAACAAAAACGTGCCAAACAAGCCCGAATATGCATGTTGGGCTAATTTAATCTGAAAAATGCTACTTTAAAAGAAATGTTCTGAAAACCTCACCGCAAACGATGCCATACAACTTCGAACAGTTCACCCCCTCCCCCCCCCCACCTCTCTTGTACGTTGGAACTACTCATAACACAAGTGCAATTTTGCAGCGCGATGGTTTTTGGTTGGACATGGCGAACAATATTTGCAAACGATCGAAAGTGCAAACATTCATTTGCAGTGCTATGCCGTACCATTTTAGAAATACGAATTTTAAATAGCAAAAAAGATTGGATATTGTACAACGTGCAGATGCTCAAACATGGGGGGGGGGATATTTTACACTTTTAGCTGGTTTCCATCGTCGTCTTCATTTCCTTTACAAGAGGTGACAAGTACTGACTGGATACTTCATAGCTTCACAAGAGTTCACAGACCTCGAGGTTCGATACGACAAAAGAACGAAGCAAAAATGCAGTGTGCCCCCCTCCCTCATGTCCGCCCCTCCCCCCTCCTAGCGAAGTGCATCCAACAAACTTCAAGGACGCTAAAGAGAAGTCAAAAAATATCGCGAAAAATCCTTTTCTTCAAACATTTACACACCTAGAACCTTTCCAGTGGCTTGATAACGAAATATTCCTAGAAAATACATTTTGTGAGAACCGATGAGCTCGTTTTTGAGCTTCTACAAATTTTTGCGGCAAATTTTTGGGCTTCCACACGTTGTAAGGCATTGGTTGTAACTTGGGAAAAGTTTAGAAGATTACGGGTGGGTAGTGAAAAGGGGTCGGCGAGATGAGAAAATCGTGGGACGGGGTCTTATTTTGCAAATATTCTCCAGCGATAGAGCGCTGTCAAAGCGACTCGAGCTCATGCGATTGCAGTCAGCCTCATCAGGAGTTTTAGCCGTCTCTTTACAAAAAAGGCATCGCAAGGATCGATAAGAAACCAGTGAAATGTTCCCACCAAGCCGATTGCGCAAAAAAAATATTTCTAGAGCGAAATCAAAGTCTGTCTCTGGTTCATCCATTCCACATACTATGATGTGATTAAGTAAAGAAAGAACGAAGAAGTTCATCGGCGCCAACAGGTTCCCTGTTTCTTTCGCACGTCTCACTTTTGTATTCGACAACGACACAAATGATTGTTGTTCTCCATGAAAAATCGCTCATCATTTAGCAGGGGAAAGAAGGATTGTTGTAATTAGTGACATAATGGGAAGCAAGGCAAAATAAACATGCGTAATGCTGCTTCGCTTTCAGTTCCAAGAAAACATCAAGTTTTGCCGGGTACACACCTACTAAAGTTTCAGATGAAACGATTTTATTCCCCATAAAACTAATCCCGACACTCAAAATGAAAGCACTAATGGACAGCGAATAGCACATAAGTAGAACCTGCTCATACAGCGAATATTGATGTCTGTTTCTCTCCAATACAAACTCCCCTGTCAATATGCTCAACCCAAATAATACGATAAACGTTCTCCCTTCGAACCCTACCCTACAAATTCAGTCTAAAATGATCTGACTTTAATGGTCCGAGCTTTGATAGTGTGCAGGGAAACGAAAGGCGTAACTGAAGAATCCTCAACCGGAGGTTCTTATATGGGTGAACAGGTCCAATTTTGCTTGCTGAGGATGTTTGTATTGATCACAACGCTATGGGGAAGAGTAGATATTTCCACTTGCTACTATGGTCATTCCTATGAAGGTCGACAACTGGTATCACTTCACAAGGTTTCACGAATCTCCACGCGACGGCGCGACACGGCGATGGGACATAAAGAAAAAGCAAAACGCTCCCCCCCCCCTCCAACTCCCAAAGCTGAATTGCGCCGACATCTCAATGACAACAACATGTCTCTCGAAGTACTCTCATAACTAGGAAACAGGGAACTCAGAGGTCTTCCCTTACCTAACAGACTCCGCTCCATCTCACGAGTCACGTCCTTTTCAGCGTGACCGAGAATCATGGAACATTTTGGTTTTTCTCTTGTGGGAACCTTGTGAATGTACTTTTTTGCTTGTCCGGCTGCCATACTTTTATTATAAATAACGCAAGGTATCTTTCAATAGCACACTTTTTAGCCATCTATTCTTCATAACAGCCTCAAGTAAGATCCCCTAACCTGACTGACTCTTTCCCCGGAACTAGGCTGACGCCCGAACACTGAAAAACTAGCCGCCAACTCTGGCGGCAGGCATTTTTACACCAAGCGAATGCGATAATTCATGTTCCAGGCAAGGCCCAGCATCATTTTGTGGGGATTGGCGGTGTAAGTACGACCCCGCATCCATCGAAACCTCATCGGGTACGACCCCCCCCCCAAACCATGCTACCTACTACCTCTCTAGTATCAATATCAGTCCACAACTTTTTCTAGTTTTGAAAATTTTCCGGTATTATCCCAAGGTCACCAGGCAATTACAATCTGAACTATAGAAATGTAGCTGTATGGTAGTTTTGCGGCGCCAGCAACCAAAGGGATTTGGGGAGGGGAACCCCTTGATGAGATTCTTCCTATGAACTGTGTCCTGGGTTCCAGGTGTCCACCTAACTCAAGAAAATTCGAGCCAAATTCAACCCCGTAGGTAAAAATTCTATTACAGACCGGCTTCGATACCGAAAACGGGCCGGCAGAAGGGGATGCATACCGCTGAAAAGAACGTACCAGATACTGCTTGTTGAATTCGAAAGCAGTCGGCAGTTGATGTTGCATTTGATGAACAGCATCCAAAAACTGCAAAAAGATCGGCGACTGTTCATTGTTGTTTGTGCCCATAATGCCATTTCGATCGGCAAACTTATGGCCAAATGCAACCCATTCGAGACGAATCAACTCCTCGAAACCCTAAAAATGAATATTTTCACTTCGATTCACCTTCATATTGACTGATTGGTAATATTTCACGGATATCACGTTCACCCCGTCTGTTGGACCACGTGAAAACATCACTCTTCATCAGTGATCAGTCATTTCAACGACGAGAATAATATCAAGGGCCACGCCACGAACTTTGAGCGCCAATTTGTTTACCACGTAAGGGAACCGGTCTGGGGTGTAGTATGGGTGGGGGAAAAATAGAAATTCTTTAGTTATTGCTCAACGGCTGTCATCGACATGACTATACAACTACATAATTTTTAAGATAACAAACAAAAGTACAATCAGTTTAAAAATAACACCCAGGGCCTGGTAGCATGTAGAAACAAGGTTTCCAATCGTTTTGTACTTCGCGTCAGCGTTTTGAGCGACTAAGAACGAATGGATATCGATCCAACGTTTCGAGCGTACGCCATCGTTTCCAGCAACTGCCCGAAAATTCGAAATTAC